TGTCCAAGGACGGCGTACCCGATTTTGGTCCAGCGATGGAGAACGAAGCCCTCTTCAAGAAGGGCGACGAGTTCAAGCAGTTCTTCTACACCAAACGTACGCCATTCATCATTTATTTATCTCTCTCAAGCAAGAACAATACCAGTCTGACTTTACAACATCGTCTCCGTGTGCAGTGTTGAATGCCGAGAGGGCCAGCTACTGCGCGCCCATCTTGGGAAACAAGCTCACGCGCACCCGCACAGCCCTCCTCAAGGATCTCGCCGAGTCTTACATGTGAGAACGAACAACAAAAGAGAAGCGTTCCTTTTTCAACGACCTCTTCGTCGTGTAAAGCAAAACTCCAACTTTCTGAGATCGATCAGGCGGCGACAAAGGCGGCGCTGCTGACGAGCTTCATCTGGACGATGTTCTTGGCGGCCGAGTCGTCGCGGGCCATCTTGCGCTCCTCGACGGTGACGCGGCTCTGCTGCATGGCCAGCATCTCCTCCTGCTGCTGGGCCTCGCGCATGAAGCCGTCCAGCCGCTCCGACTGCCGGATGAAGTTGATGTACTCCCGCTGCTGCTTGCTCGTCAGCATGCCCCGCTGCAGCAGCCGCATGCTCGAGATCAGGTTCACCCGCGCCTCCAAATAGTCACCCTGCCCGCCACAATCATCGCACCCGCGTGAGTTCGTGTCGTGTCGCGTGTCGTGTGTCGTGTGTCGCGTGTCGTGTCTTGCGGATGCGCGTGTGGTACCTTCTGAGCGAGGGCAGCACTGCGGTGGACGGCGGCGAGGCCGACGATGGCCGAGTTGATGGCGGTCTCGGCCCCCTCGCGGCTGTGGGTCACGGGCCGCGAGGTGCAAACGACCCGCAGGCACTTGACGCCCTCGCCGTTCGTGTACGTAATCTGTCAGGTGCAAAGCGTCAGCATTTCTATCTTAATATAAACAGATATTATAAAAACACATACTATAAATAAATAAATAAATGATGGAAAAAAACAGAACTGGGATTGAGTGCTGACCTGGGCCTGGAAGGGGAGCTGCTGGCCATCGGGGAGGTCGAAGAATTCGGCGGCGCGGAAGGAGAAGGTGATGTCGCTGTCCTCGGTCACGTTGCCCACGTCCCGCACCACCACGTGGCCCTCGTCACCATCTCCGATCGCCGCCGGCGACGACGACGATGACGTAGACGTCGAAGAAGAAGACGATGAAGA